GAGATTAATTATAATTTTGCTAGCTCAGTACTTGTAAAACTAAAGCAATTTATATTCTTTCTCTTAATGATCTCCATTCCTGATTGCAGTAATGTAATCTAATTGTGATTATGATAGTATCTGAATCATGTGGGCCTCTATGTGATTGGAACTACTCTTTGCATTAAAAAGTAATTTTGGAGTAATGATGAAAAGTTACTGTGGAAAATTGGCAAGTAATATATTTTACTCTGTATCTTAAGTTTCTGCTTTCATTTTTGATTATATCTTATAGCAAGGATAAGTATGATACTATATCAAGGATTTATTACATCAAAGACTTATCAATGATAACTATGAGTATCAAGGATAAGCATGATATTATTGGAATAACACAGATAGGATTGAGGCAAGAAATTGAGGTTTTGAGATACTAGTCTGGGGTTTGTGGAGAGAATGGGGAGACAGAGGAGGAGTTGTATCAGTATTCCTGGGAGATGAATGTCTTCAGAGAGAAATGCTGCAAGTATTTTGGCTGACATAGCAATGTCAATTTTGATAAAAGTTAAGCACAGTAAAGGTAGTCAGGTGGTTTTCTGAATGATTCTTTGAACTTTTAGTTCTTTGCTTGCAGATGAGAGAGGCCTTCAACAGAGACAGAACTTTGATAACGATGGCTTTTAATTACTCCATTATTGACTACAATAAGTATGGTAAAACTAAGGAAGGAATACTCATGTCTCTAAAGGCAATGTAAGATTGCCTCCAGTTTCTTGTGCACTTTATTGAATTGTCTTTCAGAAACTATTTGAATTAATTCAAGGATTTGAGCCAAGGGTAATAAAGGGTGTTGAACTTGAGAGGTATGAAAGATCCAGCAATCTCAACATCATTTGATTTAAAATATTTGTTGAGGAGTAAGAAGCAATGCAAGTCTTATGGCAGGCTCACTTTGAGGGAATGCAAAGTGTGCTAAGGAATTTTTATCAGGATTTTATTATAATGTATGGTAAATCTACTGAAGAAAATTGGAATATATTTCAGAAACAGTTGGAGGACATTTGAAATTCATCCTGGTTTAAGTCTAAAGGAGGATAAAGGTAACAATGCCCAATGTGGCTAAGTAGGGTTGTATAGTAAAGAGTAAGATAAGCAATAAGCACAAGGTGTTGAAAAAAATGTACAAAATCTGGTAAGGTAGAACAGCTGAAAGGCTATATAAGATAGAAGCAAACTGAAAGTCTAATTAGAAAAGCAAAAAGGGAATGCTGAATGCTAACTGCAGAAAAAATATTTGAGATAATAATATCCTGTGAATGTATTCCAGAAAATTGAAAAGAAGAATAGATCCACAAATCATGATAGTGTGGACAAAGAGATAATGGATTTGTTTAGCAGGTTTTATTTTTGTGTGTGAATACACAGAGGCAGATGGGTGGATGGATGGGCAGATGGAGAGCTGTTGAACAAAGGAGGAATATTTTGATTTAAGTTGCAACATGTGTATCCTCACCTGAAGAATTGACAAACATAAGACATCACAAAATTCATTTCATAAGCAGTTAATGTGACCTGATCGGCAGTACTAGATGCAAAAAATCAATCCGGTTTCAGAGTTTCAATCAAACTTTAAAGAAAACCAGAGCTACTGATACCATTCATTTTGGGCAGCACCCAAAAACACGATGCTGTAACCTGTTACTATGTAGGGAAAACATGAGCAGAAGGAGGTGTGCAGCAGGTAAGGGATATATCTCAGGTACCTGAGATAACATAGTTATGAGGCTAGTGTGTTTGCCCCTGGGTCTGGTACGACTCTGTTTTGGCCAGGGTCTTGCCACCAGATGGTCCCCTGATAACGAGCTGGGCACAAAGCCAAGACGTCTGGCTCCAGCTTGCACTTTGCTTTGACCCTGCACCATACTTCAGACTTCAGTCACCCAGTCACCCAACCACAACCAACATGCACTGTCAGGTGGGTCTGGTAGGGCTCTGCCACGTCTGTGCATAGTGTGCCACTCTGCATGTAGAAAAAGGCACCGTTATAAATAATAATAATAATAATAATAATAATAGAGATTACTCACGAAAAGCTGCAAAGATCTTTCAGCTTCAAGAGCAGGGTTCCAGCATTCCTGTCATGAGTTTACAAAGAGCTTGACTCACTCATTACTTTTGTTGCATACTTAATAATTTCTCCTAGCTGTTGTTTGCCTCTGCTAATGGTTTTCATAGAAAAGTTTGGGCTAACCTATAGCTTTAGCCTGGCTGGCAATAATAAATGCATATAAGAATTGTTTTCTTCAGAATGTCTATTTTTTTTTTTTTTCATAGCCAGTATTATTGTGAATTCCCCCACGATGCAGTGATGTTTGCTCCCCCTGCTGTCTCTACAACAGCAAATTAACCAATCCTTTTGCCCACTGAGAATTTATATTGGTAATGTTGACACATAGGATAATTTTGTTAAAAACAAAGACTTCTAGCAAAGGAAGGAGGGAGCCATACTGTACTTAAATAAGCCAAGGGAATATTCCATATTTTAGTCCCCAACAGCAGTAAGTGCTGAGCAAAAAAAAGTCAACAAAAATTGATCAAATGGAAAGATTACTCTCTTTTCTAAAAGACTACTCCAAACAAGAGAGATATACAAATAAAAAAAAAAGGGGGGGGGGGGGGGGATTTATATTACTACACATCTTTGTGTCTCAGAATGCTTAAATACATAAATTGGAATAGATCAGTTTTACTGAAAAAAAATAAATAAATACTGCTTTAGACTAAGCCCCAGTTAGACGTATTTCTGCAACAAGCTCTGCTTTTCATTCCAGTGACCTAATCTGCTGAAACTTTCCTTCAAAACTCATCTTGTTTTACCTGGCCAGCTTCTGAAATGCCCACAGATACCTGTAAGGCTGTGTGAAGGTACTGTGGTACTGCACTTTGGCAGTTCCAAGCTGCTCTCTGGGGACCAAAATTTCCAGAGGTGAAGCCTTGGTCTGCACAGGGTTGCAGAAATCTGCTATAAACGATCAGTCCTGCTTTTGGATGCCTTTTGCTGCAATTGTGTATGTCAGTGGCTGTTTAAAGAGCTATCTATTTAAAATATGCTTCCCCCTCTTTTAGCAGTAGCTGCAAATTTTCCTCTTTGCATTGTAGCTGTCGCTGCCTATGAGTATGAGCCCACTGATATTTGAGGGCATTAGGAGCATTGCAATGAATAATTTGGACTGCAGCCGCGTAGGGGAACGCTACCTGGATGTGGGGCATCCCCCCAGATCAAACAGGGACAGCAGAGGTGGCAGCACCACCCCGTTGGGGCAACCCAGCTAGGCTGGCTATCACTATTTCATTTAACATTTCTGCTTCGGAAAAAAAAAAAAAAAAAAAAGAAAAGAAAAAGCCAGGCTAAAAGGCTTCCGAAAGGAGCAGGATGGCAGGAAAATGTCTCTTGTGGAGGGCCAGTCTCTCAGCAACGCTGCCCTCCCGAGGTGTCAGGAGTTGGGGGCCCCTTGCCCCTGCCAAGGAAGTTCCTCGGGTGTCTGTTAGACATTGAGCGCTTTGTGATAGGCTGCGGGGCCTGCCGGCTGTCAGCCCACTCCCTTAAGGGAACTTGACAGATCTTAAAAAAAAATCAATTTTAAGCTCACATGCCCCAGTGGGTGCCAAAGCCACTTCAGAGAGGCTGAAAGATGGCTGAGTCGACAGGATTTGACTTCCAGAGGTAGAAAGGTGACAAACTCCATCATGAGAAAGGGGCAGCTCAGGGCCTCCGAGGCCGAACCTGCTCCCAGGATCCGGGGCCTGGTGTTGTATTGAACCTATTTATCTCTTTCATGGGCCCAAGGTACCACGGGGAAAGAAAAGTTGTTCAAAAAACGCTGGCAGAATTCAAGGGTGTAAATGATGAATTACTTTTCATCAGCTGAAAGGAAACATACTCCGGAACAATACTGAAAGGGAGCAGGAGCATCTGACCTCCTGCTTCAGAGCAGCCAATATCTTCATTCAAGAAGACAACCATGAAATTACACAGAAAATGGGATTGTCATGAACAGCCCCTTGAAATCTCAGTATACAGTCATTACTGCATGGGAAAAAGCCTTCATCCACACATCATAACTTGTAACAGACAAGAGGGTGTGTGTGTGGGGGGGGGGAGGCTGGAAAACCCTGAAAACGGGCCTTGGAGTTACCAGTAGGAATGTAGAAAATATTTGTTGATTCAAACTTTTCCCCTCTAGTCTCCCAAATCATTGTAAACAGACATAACAATGTTCTAACTTGATAGTAATACTGGCTTTTTGGCCACAGACAGCTCATTGGAGCTGTTTTGTAAATCAAAAGAAAGGAAGAGCGGGGGAAAGCCAATCTCTCGCTTTATTTATATTATCAGTCTTTGGTGAATGATTTATCATTTAAGTGCTTTGAAAAGAGAGTCCAGAAACCATTGTCCAATTAGTGCTGCCCTCTTAAACCACATACTATAAATATTCGTAATTATCAGAATCAAAAAACAATGTTCATCAGGGCTTCATATTCAGGGTAACAACTTATTTTCTGGATTTGCCCAGCAAAATTTATATTTATCCAAATTAGGCAGAGAATAGAAAACAAATGAGGCTGTTGGTTTATTTGAGAGTGAAACCAATCACAGACAATGAGAAGACAGGAATACAGGGATAAAAATATAAAAATAACACGTTTAACTGTTTATTTCTTTATTCTTGTAGATTTCTACATTGACTTTAATTAAGCTAGCCCTGGGCTAGTGGGCATGGGTAGATTTTTTTTTTCCTTTTTTAGTTTTTAATTCCTCATTAGGCTGTTTTTTCCTTAGCTCTCGTGGCTCTAATGACTAGTCCCATTAAATAGGTCAATGGGCTTCTTTTATTTCAAGTTTTATATAGACTCATATTCCACTGAATCTTAAACACTGAACACCCAAAGACTTTCTAGGCATATTTCTTCGTTCCTGTTGATACATATGTATTTATTTCCCTTTTCCCTTCTCCCCACAGCAGCTGAGCTTTAATTTCAGCATACCTGCAGAAAGCTCAGGAAAGTCTGGGCCAGCCACGTGCAAAACTATGTCCCAGGTAAGTGCTTGGCTGAGCTTTGCTACATACTGGCAGCAGCAAGGAGAAAGGAAGGTGCTCTGTGTGCCTGTGCACCACCTTCCATGCCCTTCCCCTTTCCAGCTAGGAATGCTGTTGGCAGGACTGGGGGTAATGTAAATGTGTGTATGGACACACCATATAGTTGGCTATGGGGACAGCTGACCCACAGAGCAAAGGAGTCTGACATGAGCACAAGCAGTGCATAGAAGGGCTGTTGTCTTGGGGAAGGCTTCTGTGGGAGGGCTGCTGCACAGAGTCCTGCCCAGTGGGGCTGGACTCACCATTTGCAGGACTCAGACTGATGTGAAGAGAAATGTGACAGGGAAGCTGCCTTAAGAGGGAAAAAGATATTTATCTAGAAAAAAATATAATATGCATATATATATAAAATATTTTTTTCCTAGTTTAAAAAAAAAAAGTGAATTAATTAGATTTATTTAATCAATGTCAGGAGTGAGAATGTGTTGCATATGGTTTTCCTTGATGGTCAGCCTAGAAGATAATGTTCTATGTTCTTATGTTCTAGCATTTTACATGAGATGTTCCTGCCTCCATTTCTGCTTTTCAAGCAGGAAACAACAAAAGAACAGTGTTTCCTAAATTTTTCTGTAACCCACAATACAAATAACTGTACGCATGTGATTTAGAAGCAGTTGTGGATGTTTTAAGAACTGTGGTACCCTGTTGTTCTGGGCAGCAGTCTATAGGGAGTATCCCTGGAGACATCAGGTTGGTGCCTTAGTTTTCTCTGTGGCAGAGCAGTGGCTCTTTGCTTGTGAATGATTCACACCCAGAAGAGAGAAGCAACACTAAGGACTTATCTGAATGCTTTCCAGCCTACTTGATTTGCTGCATCAGGACTATAAGCTGAGAGTGAATTCTCTATGTCTGCTCCCATTTGCTTACCAGGTCCTTGAAATATATATATATTTTTTTATACATACATATATATATATATATATATTTATTTATTTTTTTCCATGCAATCTTTTAGTATAGGAGACCTTAGCATCAAAACATTCTGCTCAAAATATTCAATATCATTAATGTGTCAGGTAAAAATATGGAAAACAGATGTGAGCAAACTGGGAAAAGTTGTGGTCTGTCTTTGCCACAGGTAGAAATTCAGCCACTGTTGTGCAATGCACAGGAAACTAGGTGATTGTGAACTAGTTCAAGATTCAAATTCAAACTCTGACCCCTTCAGATCATTTGAACTGTGTTATTTCAAGTACAACTTGGGCTAAAAATATATATCCGAGTCTCAGCTCATACCTCCTAAGTCTGTACTCAAACCATTTCAAAGGTGTATGAATCAGCCCATCTGAGCTGTCTGTGTCTCTCTACTGGCCTTGAAAGGAGTCCATGTAGGCCTTCCTCCCCAGCCCTTTGCCTTAAGCACAAGTAGATGAATCTTACAATCGAGCCTCAATTTGTAGAGTAATTAGGACCTTGACTGTGACAACCTTTATCCTGTCAGCAGTCATGGTTTAGCTCATAGTTAAAATGCCAGTGGCAACTATATTGCAGCTATTCTAAATATATCCATATTTTAACTAGATGAGGTGATATGTGGTTTTGATTGCCCTTTCCTCCTTTAGAGTTGAGCAGTGATGAAACTAGCCTTTCTGCGATGGGAAAGGAGGGAAAGCTCGAAGTATAACCAAAGAGCAGCAGCAGGGTATGGTGAGTATGAACCTGTCACATGCTCTATTCCACAGCAAAAGACATTTTTTATTCTGATCTAACAGATTAGGTGGGTACAGCTAATCAAGCAACTTGACCACTGAGCAATCTTTATGCTTCAACAAACTGACCTCAAACTATTCAAACACTGTGCAGCTGAAACTTAGTCTTATTATATATCTAGAATCTTTATTTTTATTTTTTTTTGTAACCTGCATGTGTTTCAGCACACTTCTAAGGAGCTGTTGTTATTCTAATTATAATTAAGTCACTTGAAATAAATCTGGAGATAGTAAACTGTAAAAAATATCTAAATAGGGAGCTGGTCCATTGATTTTATGGCTAAATCATCACCTCATGTATAAATGATTCTCACATGCCACAATTAATAAACAATACTTTTAGTTTAGCAGTAAAAATGCTGCCATTAAAGTGGAAAAATATTTGAAAACAGAAGAATTGAAATACATTCTCTTTTTTAAGCAGAATACCCTGTACTATTGCACCATTTGGGCCAGTCTGAAGACGGACTGAACTTTTGGCATGAGGATCAGTGCTATAGATGAGGGATCTTCATCTCATTGGGAAACATTCAGTTGTTGCTTCTAGGGAAGGGCGTTTTCTACTCAGATCAGAATTTCTAAAGTATTAGGCACCAGAGAGGCAATTAGTAGGATGTTTGAAAGTGCCTGGGCACTGGATGCCAATTGAGTTTCTAGGTGATTTTTGAAATTGATGCCTAGACCCCATCTGCATCCCTTGGCATCCAGATACCTTCAAAATGTCAGGTTTAGATGTCTGCTTCCATTTGTGATGGATACAGTCTGTAGCACAACTAATTGTGACTGACAGCACAAAAGGACAGGTGCAAAATTAAAGCACAGGTCTAAAGGTTTGGTCCCATGTAGTTGATGGACATTTAGTATATTTTTAATGTTTCACTTTCACTGGCTCCTTAATTAAATAAAAATATTTTAGATAGAGCAGCATAAATCAACTTCTTTGACTGATATGAATCCTGTTTACTCTCCAACTCTGAACTCAGCAGGTTAAGTAATTGGGAGACAGAAAAGTTCCTATATTTCTATTTCCAGCTGGTGGTACACAAAAGGCAGGAAGTTATCTCATTAATGGGGCACCAGCTTTATGCAAATTATAGTAACAAAAAGGCTTCCCTTCATACTTTTCATAAATTACCTAATAAAGTAGGAATAAATGGCCATATTCAAGAGCCTTTGTTGTATTTTTAGCACAAGACTCTTTCTGTTACTGCAAATATGACTAAATGCGCCTTGTTCAAAAGGGGTGTTTATGAAATAAGGCCACTCAAAAGCTTTTATTCCTTAACAGCCTTCAGTTACTTTTATGGCACAAAATTAACATAATTAGTCACAGAGAATAGATGACATAAGCAGCGTGCCATGCACAAAAGGGGAAACCAGTATCTAAGGAAGGTATTTTGAGAGATCAAAAATTTTCAAAGTGCTCAATACTAGAAGGTCCTTTTTATTTGTGCACAGCCTTAAGATACTTTCTTACTCCGTGAAATTCACATAATGAGATGCAGCAGACAGATGACATTAGCGATGAGCCATTAGAAAGAGGTCAGTTTCCTCTGAAAGATAGTCACTGTTCCTGCTCGTCATTAATTTGCAGCTTCAAAGCAGTGAGCATATGATAGTCTGGCATGTTAAGCAAGTTGCAGTTATCTTTAAATAACCATTTTTTCCAGTTATTAGAAGCTAAAGTTTTTAAACTTCTGACTGAAAGCAAAATTAAAGCACGCAGCAGTGTAAAAAGGCTATGAAGAGATTAGAAAAAGGAAATCAAATATGTTTTATAAATGAAGTTAGCTTTTCCCTGGGGAAAGGCTGTCTTAACTTTTAGTTTAAGAATTTGGGGTTGTATATAGACCTCATAGACCTGATTGCTGGATGAGAAAAAATAACTGTTTAGCTGCTATCTTCTTGTTGATTAACATGCACTGATCTAAAGTGCAGAAATGTTCAACTATTTAGACGACACTGAAGATGAGAAACAAAGATATCTGAGAAACTTCAAAGAGGTGAGAGAAGGCAAAATGATCTACTTATTACTTGGTGTGAAGTTTGGTTACATCTCTGGTTTGGCAGTGAAATATATTTGGATATTAAAAAAGGGTTGGGAGACTCGAATCAGGTCTTTTCTATAAATGCTTAGGAAATACGCAGAAGTGTAGTGCAGTAGGCAACAGTCAACTCCAATGCACAGCACTAAAATCTTCTTATAAAAAGACTTGTCACATCTCCAAATAATGTCACATGTCCAGGCTGGTTCTAAAAAACTCTCTTGTTTTATAATAAATATCCTTTCATTTCTACTCTTTCCTTCATACTTAATGCTGAAGCTATGTCATGGGTGAAGCCTCTGAAGGACTCCAGTTTAAACATCCCAGTCTTGTTTAAGTGCAGACTTAGTCATGGTGCCTGAGCGACGCAGAACAGAAGACAGAATTGCTAATGGATTTAAACTGTTCCAGGGTTACTGGAGTTAATACAAGTATGAGGAAATAATAAAGTAATAACCTGCCCTATACACATTATCATTAATGAGAGCCTTTTTTTCTTAATTTTGTGGGCTGTTAGATCATGCATCAATATACCCCTGGATAAAGACACATGAACCACCAAAATTAGAATTAGTTTCTCTGGTCTCTTTCTGTTGCCCTTCTGCAGAGAGGGGCCCCAGCTCATGTTTATGTGACTCACCCCAATTCCCCAGGTGCACACTTGGTACAACTCGCCCATCCCCTACAGTGTTAGCACAGTCTCTGGCACAGCTTTGGACCAGGGCCAAGGTGTTTTCCTCAGCATAGACATCCCACTCTGTGCTTAGGGAGGTCTGGCAGTCATGATTGTGCTATCCATATTATGTTCCTTGTCCTCAGAGCCAGGTACCACGCCCCACCTTGCTTAATTATAAACTAATTGATATACAACCCCAGAGATCCACCTGTGGCCAGCTGCCCATTAGAAGTACCTGCCTATTTCAGTCCATGGCAGGGTAAGCTTAAGTGTAGTAGACTTCTAGTGTAGGCAGCACTAAATGTCTGAGGTAAGATGGGATGAAGCTGGGCTAGTTTCTATGGAAAATCAGATAACTGCACAAGCCTGGGGGCTATCATTCATCTGTAGTGTTTTAATTTAGACTGGACTTTCATTCTGCACTGTGATTTACTTGGGATGAAGCAGGGTTCACTGAGTGAGGAGAAGTGCAGGATGTTTTACAGCCTGGCTGTGGGCTAGGTTGCTTTGAGACTCACTTAGAACTACCACTAATACTATATATATATATTTATTTTTTTCAGTTAGTTGGGTCTGGTTATGGACGTATCATAACTGTTTGCACAGCATACACATGCAAATTTTTGATTCAGAATTGGCTCCACTGTGTAAATTATCCTGAAGACCTGAAATACCCTGATTTGATGTCCTGCCCTGGTTTTCTAGAAGCACTTTTGGTGCTCTCTGCAAAATTCACAGAGCTCTTAGCTGATTTCAACTGTTGCTTCCAGTTGTGTGTGTGTCTAGTGCCAATATGTCTTCAAGTGACTTCTTTTCCAATTGAGTTTTTGTTTACATACAATTACCAATATTTTTAAGATGAGAGTGTTTTACATATCAAGCCTGTGGAGTCCCAACTCTGAAAGCTCTGGTTTCTAAGCAGTCTTAAAACACAGACTGTCTCTGGTCAGCACTGGGGGCCTTGTTCCCCAAGATGGAGGATTTCTGTAGTTGCAAACCTTACCATTGCAAGGGGAGATTGGACCAGCTGAAAAATTAGGAAACAGCTTGTAAAACAGACACACATAGTTAAGATCAAGACTATTAAATAAATAGAAAGCTAAAAACAAACGATCCTTCCCCCCCACTTTCTTCTGCAAACATTAAGGCATTAAAGACCTACATTTAGGACACTGCTCTTCCTCATTTTGTAAGAGCTATTCTTTAGTTTGTTATGCTGTGCTTTTTTAATAGTTATATAGGTATGTGACAATATTTGTGGACCATTCTTTTATGACACTGTTAAAGAATATGTTTATAAAGAGCAAGGGGAAAGACTGGACAGATGATGTTACATTAATCCTAACCCCTGGCCCTGACTTCCCTGGTTAACAGACACATTGCCATTAGTATTAAAGTGCAGGAAATCTTATTTCTTTTCTTAAGACAATAAACAGAACATTATTCAAACCTAAATAAGTGGTGTTGAGTTTCAATATTTTGGCCAAAAATTTATCTGATTCTTGTATTTTTTGTGCTGCACAAAATTTTATGTTTTAAGGCCAAACCTGAAACCAAAAAAAATTGATTGTTGTTTTTTGGGGGGGTTGTTTTTCCTAACGGAGGCTTTAGTCCTGCTCCTATTTTGCATTTCGGGTCATGTCCTGCAGCCATACTGTGGCTCTTGCATCCTCCTATTCAAGCAGACCAAAGCACACTGAGCTGCTCGAATCACCTTGGGCAGATGGCAATATAAAAAATACTATGTGTTACTTCTTGTGGGTGCTTAGTGCTTCCTACATTTAGTACTAATAGGTCATGATCACTGCCAAAAACAGAACCTTCCTTGGGCTCTTCTTGGAGAGCCCAAGAGAGACCTGTATCAGCAAGTTGGAATCGGATCTGCAATAAGATTCATGCCCTGAATTGGTGTGTTGGTCTGTGTGCCTTCTGTGGTGCAATGCCACACGTGTTTCTGTAGAAAAGAGAAGAAAAGAGAAAGCTGGAAGTGCTAAAGCTAATGTACTGAAATGCAGTTTATTGAAAAAAAAAAGAAAAAAAAACCTTGCTAAAGCTTGCACATGCATCACGCTTTCACCACACATCTTTGAGAAATTACTGAAACTCATGCACTGTCTTTATGTCCAAAAAGTGAAGCAGTTACTATCAGAAAATGTTGTTCTCAACTCGTCTGTGCCAAAATTGGTGAAACTGATTCCAGCTAGTTTTTAATCTATT